TTTATTTTTATTTTTATTTTTTTTATGGCAACCAACCCTCTCTGGGAGGTTTATTTCTGCCAATGTCGAGTGAAAATTGACATAGTTATCAATAGAACGTGGGTGTTTCAGTTCTATTGATTTTTCATGGATTCCGTGGAGTTAAGTATGCCCGTAAGCAGGTTTCAAGACGCCACCGGGTCCAAAGCGGGTTGTTCATACGACAACCCACTCGACACTCGATGCGCGCTCAAACTCGAAGTATTTCAATGTTTTTTATAATTTACCACTTCACTGCACTTTAGAACACAAAATAACACCAAATTTGTACACTAAAGTCCATTAAATAATAAATTGAAACCATTAAAACAGATCGACGATCGATAAATCTATTTGACCTTTGATAAGAAGGCTAAGTCCAACCCTAGGCTTCAAACGATCACAATCAATCAAACATGTTCTTTACAATCACATTATTACTATCTTACGGTCTACGACTATCAAGTCCATCTCTAACCCAAATGTTTGGCCTCTGATACGATAAGAGATGTTATTTTTCACTTGCCCTCCTTACCCTCCATTTTTTTACCACTTTTTGATAAAGGATCCGGACCTTCTTGCCCGTAAAACAACCCGGGGCAGCTTTTATTGCAATCGTAAACAAAGTATGGCGGAAGTTTTTAAGAATTATTAGTATGTTTTGTACTTTATGAGGGATTATTGTTGATGAATACGGTTGGATATGATCCTTTTTTGTTTGTTTTGTGTTTATTTTATGATAATTAGCAATTACTATATACAGCTCTCAATTTTCAATGAGTTTTCAACATCTCTAAACTCAATAAAAGTAATTTATTAATAACTTAACATACAATTAAAAAAAACATTGGTTCTGGTAGCAAAATACCAGTTAAAAAAAACTATTGAAATAATTATATCTTTGGAATTCGCTAGCGTCGACTCACATGTCAAAACGCTATTCGTATCCATAAAATAACATATTTTTGTCAGTGCATCATGAAATCGAGGTTCATTTTGTTCCATTGTTCAGGTGGAACATTCATTTTTTGCGACAATGTTGCTTGTATTTGCTACAGTTATGTATAAACATATTCTACTATTACACTGTGAGCCTTGCGCTATTGATATTGAAACATACTTGCGAAGCTTGTCCCTGTTCTTTGATATTATACAATAATCTGGTAAATAACTTCACAGAGGCTTTATTTACATTGAATTACTTTTATACCGCCCGTCAATTTTGAAGGAGGCTCAGCTCTAGTTTATGAAGATGAGGCCACACATTCCAAGTATAGTAGAGCAGGGACACATTTTTTATCGATATTTAAAACTTGCAAAGGTTTTTACTTTTCTTCGAATTAAACTGTTACTATTGGTAATTCAAATATGTCTACCATGAGAAAGATTATTATAGAATTATTTTATCCAAATCACATAACCGTTTAGATGAGTAAATTTTAGGGGAAGAAGGGTATAAGGAAAAAGGAAGCATAAAATATCCCAATGGGTCAAAGGGCACTATGCTAAGGCATGACCCCAAAAAGATGAGCTAAGATGGATAGTAGCAAAATACTTTTACTATTTGTAGCAAAATTTGTACTTTTCAAGGCGAGAGTGAATAGGCACTTACCTACCGGGCAGATAATAATATGCACCATCCTAGACTGCATCCCACTTAACACCAGGTGCGATTGCGGTCAAATTCCTGTCTTATTATGCATAAAAAAAATATGAAGAACATATTTTAGAAGACAAAAGTATGGTCAAAAGTGATACAAAATAGTCACAATATTTTCTATGCTTCCTTAAAAAGTTTTACTCGACAATTTTATTTATGGGTTAGTGGTATTGTAGCATAATATTTCATCCACCAGATCGTACAGAATAAACAACTTAACTTCCACTGTTGTTGTTTTTTCCTTCGATAAACATCGCTTGTAATTGAGACCTTTCTTTATTGCTTCGCGAAACTTTCCGACCTTGACCAAAGCATTATTAACTGTGAAAGTGGGACGAAGCTTATTGGTGTATCATTAGTTTTTATAAGATTGTTTTCCATACAAACAGATTTTTATTAGTCGTAGTTATTAAGCTGGTCTTTTGAAAATGTGAATTTGGTATAACTGGCACAACACCATTACGTTATTTTAGATATTTTTTAACTTACCAATTTAACGTATGCCGCTGCTCCTCCTGTCGAGTTGCGGTCTCAACTGTAGAACTCGAAAACCACTTCTATGGCAGATATACTTTAACAAGTCATTCCAGATACAATTCTTCTTCTTCTTATCGTATCGACAACAAAACCACACAATGTCAGCCCAAAACTCCGCTACAAGAGTGGCGTGGTCAGCAGCATTAATAAAATCCTCCTTCGTGCAGTTGCTCGGGCACTCAGCGCACGACATCATCATCATCATCATCATCATTTCAGCATAGGACGTCCACTGCTGAACAAAGCCTCCCCTAATGCTTTCCACGTTGATAGATTGGTAGCGGCCTGCATCCAGCGCTTCCCTGCTACCTTTACGATGTCGTCGGTCCACCTTGTAGGTGGACGTCCCACGCTGCGTTTTCCGATACGCGGCCTCCATTCCAGAACCTTCCGGCATCGGCCGTCAGTTCTGCGTACTATATGCCCTGCCCATTGCTACTTCAGCTTGCTAATCTGTCAGGAACGACATCATATGGACAGAATACCATTGAAAGTAGTACTTACCTAAAAAGAGCTTTTACCTCAAAGTGAATTTTATCTACATCACTCCATTTTGCAAACCACAGACTCTGAAATCCACTATCCTCGTTCCGCGAAACAGCTATCAGATGTTATTCCAATTTCCCTAATGCAAAAAATCGATAGCCTCGACACGTTTTATCGATACTCCCCCATCTCTACTATTACTTATGCCAGCAGAGAACCGAACAAAGACCCTTTATAGAGTTGTTTATCGTCCAGTGAGTGAAGTTCCTTGCAAACTGTGCGTCGAGCCTTATGCATCCTTTAAAGCCTTTTTACACTAGCGATTTGTCTTGACGTGGCGTATATGTGGCACGCAAGTGGCATATACGCCGTGACAAGATGGCAGCGTACAGCTTGTTATTTGTAAATAAATTCTTCTCCGAGAAATCAGGAGGCGAATGGCTAGTAAGAAAAGGCTTTTAAAGAGATCGTTCTCCTCATGACCACTTTGTTCAAAGTCAAAGCTAAACCTAAAACTAGAAAACCATTGGGCCTAATTAGTTTACATAGAATATACCACGTCAGAACAATGTGGGTTTTAATCTTACTTTGGGTGTAGGTACTATTTGTGGCTGAGCTCAGCTAAAACAAATTAATAACATTTTTATAAGAGTATTCTAGTTTGATTTCAATATCTGCTATGAGACCTTGCCGTACGCATTACTTGTTACATGCTTAAAAATAAGTTTGAAACTGAAAGGTTGTGAGATAATATCAATCTTGCCTGCTAACTTACATATATTTTTACGGCTTCTTCCTATTAATATGATCATCAATTGAATCACGCACGCTCGAAAAATCAATTAAAAAAGTAGCTCACTTAGGGTAAAATTACCTTACCTATACACCCACGAAGTTTGTCTATCTCTCTCCAATAAAATCCAGTACCTACCCACAGCAAGTATGCATACATCACATCTAAACGTGACGCATTTATAGATTTATCGTTCAGAACGTTCTGCAATGTTCATGATCAGCAATTGAATGCTCGCTAATTGAAGCAGTGAATGCTGGCAATGGAAAGTATGCCACTTTGTACGCTCTACGTTTGGCACTGAATAGGCGGGTATATTGAGAATTGTCTGTGAATTCGTATTGGTGGTCGTGTCCATTATGCGTATTCTGTATTAATCTGCTGTTTTATGTCTCATGAAAACAAAATATATCTACCATAGATACATTTTCTAGGGTATTGAGAGAGTGGTTTAGATTTAAGCCACTTAGGTTGGGTTGTACCATCTTACTTTAACTTTGACAAACGTCAAAAATATGTCAAACTCCATACAAAAAACACCGGTTATCGTTAAAGTTACGGTCAAAGTTAGGTGGTGCAACTCAGCCTTATTGTTGGTTGCTGGTGTGTACTGAAGTTTAATGCATTTTCAGTTTCAAATCTCGCTATGGTGTGTCTGCAAGTAAGTAATTATATTGGGGTTTGAAATTGATAGCTTAAAAAACTTTTTTTATAGGTAATTATAAATTCTTAAGTACTACTACTAATAATAATCAACATCGACATCAACAACGCAGGCCGCTACCAATCGATCAACATGGAAAGCATTGGGGGAGGCCTATGTTCAGCAGTGGACGTCCTGTGGCTGAAATGATGATGATGATGACGATGAAGTACTACTACTTACCACTTGGCCATTTCTTGCAGTTATTGTTGCAGATGGTTTTATTTTACTTTATTAATAACCGTATCACTGAAAACCTATAATTCGAGTAGGCACTTTCTATGTTACTCTAACAATGTTAAAGTCCTTTGAGTATCAAAATATCTTTGTTGTGTCGACTTTCATTAGAGTTAATTAAATCAATGAAATCTTGAAGCTACCACGCAGCCAATAATTTAATTATAATAATTTCAAAGTTTAAGCCTCAAAATCAATTCGCTGTAATAATTGTAAAATAACATTGCTTTGATCTAAAATCAAGTACCAAGTCAATTTCACGTAAATTCATTTATTTCTTCATACCACTCGACTTTTTAAGGTGGAATTTTTTTCTGAAATAAATTAAATGCTTTATAGGTTACTGGTTATGTGTTGGTGCTCATTATAAACCACCTTAATTGGCCATTCATCAATCTGTATCTTATTTAATTCAGATTTATTAAATCACCTTAAGCTTAATTGAGATTGAAGCTAGATGATCAGCAATACAATAAGTACATACCTACTTGAATTGAAAGAGAATAAAACAGATTTTATTATGATATATTTGATTTTTAATCGATAATCATATCAGTGACTGAGAAACTCGTTAACATTTTTTTTCCCTAAAAAAACTCGACTCATCCGTACACACTATTTACAATGGCATCAAATTACATACGAATTACACTTTTCAAAGAGCTTGAAACACTTTTTAATCCTGTAATGTAAAGTCAGATGGAATTAACTGTCACACTCTCATTTCGTCGATGGCAGCTTGCGGGAGGGTGGGGGTGTGGGAGGCTTTACCCCTCCGTAGGGTCGCGTGAGGGCCTCCCCTCGGCTCGCCGTCCCTCCCAGGGGAGCCTTGCGCTGTAGAGCCGTTCGGAGGCTGGAATTTCTGTTGCCTCAGTTCCTGCATCGGGGGCGAGTTATTAAACTTGTTCAAATTCTTGGGCATAGTCGCATACCCGCCCATCTGAGGGTAACTCACGTTGGGTATCCTAAAACTACTGTTGCGGCTGCCAAGTTTGCTCGGCAGCATCATGTTGTCGATGCTCATAGTTGGACTTGGCGGGGACTTCGGAACGTCTAGCGGCCCTTTGAAGTTTAAGCCCGATAAGTGAGCGTCGGACCCCATCATGTGCTTTTTTCTATTCTGCCTCTCAACATCCACAACCAAACTTGGAGCGTGCGTTGGATCCATGTGGTAATGGGAATGCTTCCCAGATATCGTCTCGAAATGTTTTTCGTTGAACCTCTGCTGCTTGCCTCGGGATCTAGACTTATCTCTCTGGTAATACACTCCAGCAAATATCAGTACGTTAAGAATCAAAAGTGAACATCCTATTGCTATGGTGACGCTTAGAGCAGTGGAATATGCTGCATACCCAGCTGCTTCCAAATTGGCTAGAGTATTATCAGTAGCATTGACCGTTTGCAGATCTCTCCCAGGCAGAATGGTTGCACATGTAGCCAGTATCGTATCGACTGTTGTTAGAGCTGTATCCGAATACGATCCGTTTGTTCTTTTGATTTCGTTATCGTTGATGTTTCTAGCCAAAGGATCTGGTCTGACGACGCCTTCGTAGAGTTCTTGCTCGTTGTGGTTTCTGAAGAGATTGTGTCTTGCGGCTACATCCTCCATACCAGCTCTATGGAGTTCTGGAACCAACCTGAGCCATACCGACAGCTGATGCGCTCTGAAGTGGTTCTTCAGCCGAGGCTTCATCCCTATGGGATAAAACAGATTATGTTAATGCCTCCTTATCGAAATCTACATTTATGAATAAAATAAAACCCGAAATAAATGGGCCGTCTAAAAAGACTGTAATGTATCTTCCATAAGCCTGAATGTTCGAATGAATCCGTACGTGTAATTTAAAACATATTTGCGTTGTCTCACGAGGAATAACTCGGGGAAAAAGGCGTTTTCTTTGGATAAAGCGTTCGTTTCTTATCGAGATAAGTGGGTCATATCTTATTATCAAGGTAATCATTTGCAATAATTATCCTATCGTTCTATTTCGTATAATAATTTTTGTATACGCCGTCTAAAATGGCTAGAAAAACAAACGATACGTGCCAAAAAAACTACCTATTTATAATTTTCATTGTCATCTTTTTGGGCTATGATGACGTGTTTTACTATTATATCTAATTGAATTTTATGACTCCAATTTATCTTGCCCATAAAGAGCAAATTAAGAATTGTTAAGCATTAGGTTATTTACGCTAGGTCATTACTACGATAGTGACCGTAAAAGTAGTACTTTTATGAACGTTTTAGATCCTTGTCGCAGTAAAAGATTTCGCAACGTTTGATTGATGAGGTCAACTCAGGTCCTTTATTATGAAAGGGTCTGAAAGTGTTGCCACATTTTGGGTGATGAATATTAAAAGTGAGTTCGTGATAAATCTGTTTTTTATTATGAAAAATAAAAATATCACGAAGGTTTCGTAGTATAATTTATTAGTGTGATAGAGCCCTAAACACAGCCTTAGTGCAATAAAGATATAAGAGAGCAAGGGAAATATTCGAGAATGTATCGCCTAATAATTAAAAACCATTGTTGCATAAGTACCTATTTTTTTTTTTTTTTTTTATAAATGATCATTTGTTATGCCTTGCAAAAGGTGCTATTGGATTACTCCAGTTGCAAGACGCTGTGCTATTTTTTGGATATAAATTGGATTACATTTCTATTTGTTGAATTCTTTTAGGTGATTTACAATATAGGTGATGAATTTTTGAAAGCTTTTGATGGTCTCTTCTTTTTTAATTAAATCTGTAAGATTGTATGGTTCGACATTGAGCATGGAGGAAGTAATTTCGTGATTTTGTCGTTGTATTACAAATCGGGGACATTGTGTTAATAGGTGCTTCCACGTTTGAGATGTTTGGTCGTCGCAGGGACAATTCTCATCGGCGACGATGTGAAAGCGGTGCAAATATGATTTGTGATAACCGTGATTGGTTAACACTTGGGTCATAGCAAAATTTGGCCGAACGGTCTTAGTGAACTCCTGCAAGCTGTTATATGTTTTAAATTGGTTCGCAGAATGGGAAAATATAAAAAAAGTCGCTCAGCATGTTTGTTCACATTTTGATCTAAATTAAATTAAGGCTTAATTCAAAATACATTAATTTAGTTCTCTACTAACTCAATTAAGAAAACGATATCAAGAAGAATTTCAGATAAAATAAAAGAAGTAGGTACTCGGCATTAGAAATTATTCAATTTTATTTCTTTTAATAACTTTAATAATTACAGCGACAGTAAGTATAATGCTTTTATCACAATATCCTAAACAGGCAGTTTATTTTTATTCTTTGGCCTTTCGAAGCTAAAATCAAAAGACAATGACTATTATTCTATTTTTAACTACAAAGAAGGAATTAATCTGACCTTTTTATCAATTCCATGCTTGCAAAGTAAATTCCTTTTCATAAAGACTTATCAAGCATAAGACTTCGGAATCTTATTTCAATTTGATAGGTGCTCCTTGCCAATATAAAAAGTAATATTTTAATTGATATTCGTATCCCGAATTTCCGATACTTAAATGGTTATTAAGTATCGGGGGTTTATCCAGGCACAGAAGAGACGGTTTTAAATACCTACATAATCTTATTAAAGATTAAAATGACCAATAAAAGAAAATGTCTTAAACGCCAGCTGAAAACAATTTTCTAGTGGGTCTGGTACTCTAATTTAATTCGTAAAACAGTAAAAATTAAGCACTTGAAACAACAGCTCCGAAATTGCTACGAATTTAGGTCGTTTTAGGTTATTTGTAAATTTTTATATTCAGTGTGTTACGGAACCTTTGTGACCCAACCGCCATGATGTGAATGTAATTACGTTTATATCGTTGCCAGTTAAAAAACCTTTTTATAAAATTGCTTTGCAAATAAATATTGAAAATTGAATTATTTTTTACACAGCCATCAGTGTGTGTGCTGAGAATGCGTTTAGTCCACTCCTTTTACTATACAGGATGTTAGGTAAATGAGCCGACACTAGCCCATGTTAACATGGGCATATAAATGGTATGGTGAAGTTAGAAATTTGATCTCATCTTTTATTTTTTTTTTAATTTTCAAACAAAATAAATTTTATAAAGTCCGATTTGTATGAAAATTAAAATAATTAAAATGTCCACAAGTGAACCCAAAGTGATTTTATACCTACTTTACACAAACTACTATAAATATAAAGCCTCTCTTCTCTTAGACAAAATGAGTACAATTCTTTAACCACTGTACCCCGAGACATGTCCCCAAGTGAACCCAAAGCTATACTGACCTATTTCCAAATACTTCTGATGCGTCGAGTCATACTCCTCCATAGTGATTTTATACCTACTTTACACAAACTACTATAAATATAAAGCCTCTCTTCTCTTAGACAAAATGAGTACAATTCTTTAATCACTGTACCCCGAGACATGTCCCCAAGTGAACTCAAAGCTATACTGACCTATTTCCAAATACTTCTGATGCGTCGAGTCATACTCCTCTAAAGTAATTTTAAACCTAAATGAGAGAAAGTATCTACTCGTACTTACTATAAATGCAAAGCCTACTCGTACTTTAATAAGAGACTTATGCCCGTTTTCACCATCAATCCCTAATTTTTAAGTGACCCCTATGAAAACAAAATTAATATTATATGTTACCAAAGTGACCCACTTTAAAAATAGGGATTGATGGTGAAAATGGGCATTAATTCTTTAACCACTGTACTCCCGAGACATGTCCCCAAGTGAACTGAAAGCTATACTGACCTATTTCCAAATACTTCTGATGCGTCGAGTCGTACTCCTCCCAGCTCACTCCTCGGAACTTGTTCCTCTCCCTCGAGGCCGGCAGCACGACCTCCTGCCGAACGTTGTCGTTCGGGTTTCTGTAAACAAATCTAATTGAAATCATTCCGGATTAAGGGTCTTACGTATAATTTGTTGGAATTTTACTTTGTTTTGTTGAAGTTTTCGTTGGAATTAGTATTATTTTTTTATTATTAAAAGAATATTTGCACAAATGCAAAAGAAATAACTTTTGACACTTATATTAAATGTAAATACTACATTATTCTACTCATCGTTTATCGTCTATTCATACCTGATTTTTTGAGTATCTTCTCATAACAATGAAATATTAGAACATTCGATGTTGTTTTAACGTTTTAGCTCACATTCAGAAAGAAAATTATTCAGTATAATGTGAATTTACGTTCACTGAATAATTTTATCGTTGCTAAACTTAATTGATATTGCCCAAGTAATGACTAGCAATTAATGAAGGAAGTTAATAACTTCAGTGTCTATTGAAATCTCTCTAAATTTCAAACCTCGAAAATTTAAGCGGTTGAAACGTAAGCTTACGGAGTACTCTTAAGTAATATTGGACTGAAAAGGCAAATTGAAGAAAATAGAGGTGTTTATGTTACGAATTACTGGAGTGTTCGGTTTATTTGGTAATTTGTAGCAATCAATTTTACGTTTCGGTCGATTGATTTTGGAAGTTTGTTGGTCTTAATGCAAAAGGTTAAAGGTTTATTATTCTTTGCAACATTTTCGAGGAATTTTCTTGTTTATTTCATGTTTTAAAGCAATTTCATAAATATCTCAATCAACAAAAAAATTATAGATGGTCCAAATGCTACTAAAAATAAGCACCACAAGCAGCCAATAATCTAAAAAGGCTTATAATTTTGTAAAATAACCAAGGAAAGAAGTTTCTTCAGATGTGAAATGAGGGAATTAAACTTTACCGAAAATTGTTTACAGTTCGAATACAATTACTCGCCTCCATAATTCACCTAAACTTACACATTGCATTTCTGCGAAAACAACATAAACGGGTGATATACAGGGTGTTTAAATCATTGGCATACTTTTAAACTAAGACTCATGATACATAGCACATTCCCCAAATATGAAACAAATCCTATGAGTTTCATATTTGGGGAATTTCAGTAATGAAAATCTTGTACAGAAACTTAACATTGTGGCATCTTATTTCAATGTAAATACTCGTATTATTATTTCGCAACAAAAAATTATAGTCTGATGTGCTGCTTGTACTTACAATCGCTTAAAACTCTTTAATATACAACAATTATGTACAAATAAACAGTAACTATAAACACAAAAATACTCATTGGATTTGTTTCATATTTGGGAAATGTTACCTACTATGTGTCATGAATAGAGTTGTATATTAAAAGTAGAGTTGCCACGAATAGTGATTTGGCCGAATACCGAATACCGAATATTCGGCAACGCTGTCGGCCGAAGCGCCGAATATTCGGCGGCCGAATATTCGGCACAAAGCACATGCTAGTCGAGTGCGTAAATAATAATACGACAGACTGCGACCTGTCTCCATAGCGCGCGGGCGGCGTAAGGCAATTTGACTCAGGGTGAAGAAACTGCCATACAACGGTCATTGAAGTGAAACTTGCTTCAAAACAGCGACATCGGTGAATAAATTCAAATACTTTTTAAATACCCCAAAACGCTCTAGATGTCGCTGCACCTGTTTCCTTCATATTTTCATTTTTTTCTTAATTAAAATATATTTGAGAATATTGTTAATTACAATGTGAAAACTTTTTTTAAATGAAATTAATTTGTTTTAATTTAAAACTGAACATTGACATTTTTGTTATAATTTACATAATAGAGTAGTAGAAATTACTATTTAACATATGGCAACTTTGTTTTTCCTCCAAAATGGCCGGTGTTGTTTTTGTTAGGTTGAATTGAATGCATTATTGTTTTCTTAGCCATCGTTTATGAGTTCTGTGGCCCTATTAAAGTATTGAAGAGTCGAGTCAAATTCAAGTTCATTCCTTCGTACCTGCTGCTGTTCTGGTTCATCGGAGTTTTGTTCGTTCCTTCGTGAATCGCGAAGAAACTTTCTGTTATGTTCACAAGTGATCTGAGTTTTCTCAATGTGCTGTGTTCTGTGTTTAGTGTTGAAAACTTTGCGAAAAGACGCTTTTGGTGTATAATATTATGTGTGTTCATAAATAAAGTAAAATTATTAAATTCAAAAGTTTTTGTTTACTTATTTGCATTTCCATGTGCAATGTAGAATTTTTCCAAATACATTGTTTTGAAAATATGCGAAAAGACGCTTTTGGTGTATAATATTATGTGTGTTCATAAATAAAGTAAAATTATTAAATTCAAAAGTTTTTGTTTACTTATTTGCATTTCCATGTGCAATGTAGAATTTTTCCAAATACATTGTTTTGAAAATACGTACACCATAAAGATAAATATTTTCAAAATAATGAATTTGAAAAAATTCTGCATTGTACATCATAAAAACAATAATTCTTTGAAGGTTATGAGGGCCTATGTGTGCGTGAACTGTGTGTATGTGTGCGTGGACTTTATGTATGTATGTGTGCGTGTACTATGTGTGTATGTGAGCGTTACGTACGTAGGTTAAGTACAGGGAATTTAACACCAGGCTATCAATTAGTAGGCTCAAAAATTTGACAGAGAGGGTTCTCTATTTCCTATGTATTACTTTTCTCTATGATTTGACTGTTTCATTCAATGAGGGTTTTCGCGATTTAAAAATCCGCCAGATGGCGGTACGTGGATGTAGGGTCTGACTGCTGCGTGATTGGTGGATTTTGACATCTGTCAATGTCATGTCAGAAATAACCAATCATGCAGCATTTTTCAATCGCGAAATCCCTCATTGCGAGTAAATCACGTCACGGCACGCATTGTTAGATTAATATAAATTACAAAAATAAAACGTTACGATTTTGCTGAAAAGTTTGTTCGTTAGTTCTTTTTCAATTGTTTGTTCACTAAAAAATGTCACCAATTATTAAAAAATCTGCCATATGGGAATATTATGAGATTTGTAGTGAAACTAATAAACTGGCCAATTATTTGCTGTGTAGTAGCTCTGAAACTAAGTTGTAATGATAATGAGTCTAGTAGTACCGATGAATCTTCTCAACGTCGTAAGAGAAGAAACTTGAACGAAAATGACAAGTCATTTGAAATACACGGCAGTTTCTGGAACTGCTTTGAGGAAGTCGCTAAAGATAATATTTTATGCGAAATAGTAATGATGAGGAGAACATGGAGAAGAATACTGTGGCAAATGAGATGGATTTTTATTTGAAATCAAATCGACTAGATCGGAAAGCTGATCCTTACAAGTGGTGGTCAGCTAATGAAAAACAATACCCAAACCTCTCGAAATTTGCGAAAGTTTATCTTTCTTCTCCCGGGAGTAGCGTGTATAGTGAGAGGTTGTTTTCTGAAGCTGGTATCATTTATGATGAAAAGGGTAATCGTTTGCTACCGTCAAATGCTGAAAAGCTTGTTTTTATCCATCACAACTTACCGCTGATTAATTTTACTTATTAAAGTATTGTAATTTGATAATAAGGACAAATCTTGATTAATATGATGTATGTCATTTTTTTCCATGATTTGGTATTCGGTATTCGGCCGAATAGTACCTATTATTCGGCCGAATACCGAATACCAAACAAAGTGGCCGAATAGGCCGAATACCGAATAGTAGCCGAATATTCGTGGCATCTCTAATTAAAAGTATGACAACTATTTAAATTTCACCCTGTAGATACAGAGTCAGAAACTCTAAAACAATGGGCTGTAACAATTGCGGAAACAACCAAAGCGAATTGAGTTTAACATCACGGACATAAAGTTGCTTATCGCTCGCACCACTCTTATCAGCACTTCCACAAACTTTCCCTAGAAACTTTGCTCCTGATAATGAAAACCTTATTTCTGTATAAATAAAGTGTATATTTGCAAGGCAATTATACCTCGAGCCTTAACTTCTGCAATATTGTTTGAGTTTGAAGCTAAGTTTTACTGCAATTTATAAATTTCTGTTGGCATTGTCTTTAATATTATCTCATGATTTTATTCAGTAGGTTTAACTGACACTTTCGTAATTAATAAAAGATACAAATCACCTAAAGAAACTTTGATTGTACAGGCTGAGTTGCAACCACCTAACTTAAACGTTTGTTTTTGTATGGAGTTTAACAGATTTTTGACGTTTGTGTTAAAGTAAGATGGTGCAACCCAGCCTTAGTCTAACTAATAGTTAGTGGATCATTTTGCAAATTCAACGTCGTGTGTACAAAATAGGTTCCCTACATGACATCGAATATTGCACACCGAAACCGTCACATCGAATCTTTCGATATAAAAGCATAGCATTTGCTGTGTTAACCATTCGATTGAGAAAGAAAAACATTTATTTGGTTCAAACTTAAAAAATATAACACACAGAATGAGATAACAAAAAACAAGTAGGTATAAGTTAGAACCAAAATTGGCCACCGCTCAGCATGTGTCATGCTCTGGAGTGTAATAAAACCAGAACACGACGCTGTTATTCTGCGGAGACCATATTCTGATTGAGTAATAGTTTGATATACGCTAGTAGTATAGTTTGACATAGACACACGCTATACTAGCAATTAAAAAGGGCTATCCGACGCAGCGTTTTCGCTGTCGTGACATTCTATGTAGCAACTTTCGATGTCAGACAGGGATCCCCCCTATACTCCTAATAATAAGAACTGTAAAAATTAAAAACAACTTACCCTGTCTTCACAAAGTTAGCCACAAACAACATGATGGACTCTGACAAAGCTACTTCAGACTTGGTGTAATTTTGGGGGAAATGGCCGAACCCATCCACCAGGGGAGCTCCGAAGACGTAAGGCAACTCTTCGCCATGGACTGCTCCCATTCTCTGAAAGAAAAAATAATTTTAAAACATGCGCACATCAGCCACTGAAAGGAGCCAGGAAAGCAAGAATGTAGACCAAATCCTCCATTTGCTTTTGGTAAATTAGAGAGGGTCTTGCTCCTGCAGTGGATACTAAATAATATGATTATGATGGTGATGATGATACACTAAAGCCTAGTCCGTGAGCACGTAGAATTTTGTCCAATGACCACTAGCTACCTATCCTTATCGCTCGCGCGTAATTATATTGCTGTCGCGACTGTGCGACTGGCACCCGCAGTGAGTGTGCGAGCGCGATAGCAACATAATTACGCGCGAGCGATAAGGATGCGTAGCTTGGGGTCATTGGACAAAATTCTACGTGCTCACGGACCAGACTATATCAATTTTGATACGCAATAGTGTGCAATGTGCATAGGAAGGCCAGTGTCTAGCAGTCGACTGACTTGAGATGATTTTGAGTGAAATAAGACTAGTTTTTTTTTGTGTTACGAGTGGGTTCACTAGAATTGTAATAGTCCAGCAGCGGCAATTTAGATTCGAACCTGCGTTCCTCGGATCTTAATTCAGCCAGTCTGACACTGACACTATTGCCCAATGTATTAATAAATCTTTTTATTTAAAATCGTTTTATTTAAAAAAGGCACTTGACATTAACGATTTCATTACTTTGTTTTTGAGTTCCGCGCTAATCCTTTTTCCATCATTGCTGCGCTAAGGACTCCGGGGAAATGGAGTAATCCCATTTATGGTTTATTTTTTCCCATACATACTGTTTGCTAAAGAGAAGCAGCATCATATTTTTATGTCAAGTATTGATTTGACTTTCCCACCCACACGTTTTCAGTCGCAAAATATCGCGTTATTTCCTGACACAAAAAGGCATATTGCGATTTGCGAGATGCTTTTCTATAGCTTCTACATCCTCATATGATTATAAATATTATAGATCCATAAATAAAACTGCTCGTTGCAGTAAATCGCTGCAAGCAGCTTTAATACAGCATAAAACAAAACTATGACGTCATTACTGTATATTGGGACGTATTCACAAATAACATTGATATCTCTGCATTCAGAGAATCCATTTAATTCCCCTAGTATGCTGTTTACTGAACGCGCGCCATTCTTCATCCGAGTTCATTGGAAAAGTCATAGTATCGGGAATTCAGTTCCATGCTGATTAAATGCAATATCTAAACAAGCTTGGGCTTTGTGTAAGTAACATTGAAATGCGAATAAGTTATATCATCGAGTTGGAGTATATTGGAAAAGTAGATTCAAACTTTCAATATTTGTTTTGAAAAAGAAGTCGCAATACACAGTATGAATCAGTGATGCTAGTGATTCATTGTCTTTGAATCCTAAAAATTATCTTCAAGAATTAATTAAGCATGGGCAAAATGCTATTTGAAACGCGACGATCGTTGACGCTCGGATTCGCGTTTGGCGGGCCCTTCTTTTTGAATAAGGCGCGGGCTCGCGCGCTCTGCCGGCGCGCTCTGCCAGCGCGCTCTTTCCCAACGGTCACCGCGTATTGTGTTTTTCTAAATTCGACCTTATCGTCAGTCCGCCCAAGGCCGCGACGCGCGCGAACAAACTTTCTATGTTTTGGCTGTTAAATCATTTACTACTGATTCCAAGTATTGTTTGTGTTGTATTTCGTTGTGGAAAAGACAATATACGTTTCTGTGCCTTTGAATCGTGCTTTGGACTATTATTTCACGACCCCGAGTACCAAAGAACTAACTTTACATATTTTATTAATTTATCATTTTAGCTACATTCTACTCCTGAATACTTTTATTTTCGTTTGAATTATCTAGACCAGAATGTCTTTAATAGAGGATAATTCTTATTGTTTGACTTATTTTCTAACATTCCGTTATGTAAATAAGTCTCTATCAAAACAATAACCACAATTGAATGCTGGAAATGTTTAATTTGAAACTGCCAAACTTTTAATTGGAAGGGAACTCAAAAATAATTGTACATTTGTGTGCCTCGAGCAAAGTTGAACCAATTATTGAACCCTTATTACCGTAAAATGAATTTACTGTTGATTTCCGATGATAGTAGTAATTTCGCTACTGATATTAAAACTTCGGTTTCTGCGTAATGTTTGTATCTCTTCCCTTTGTAGAGACAGCAACATACAGTAGCGCCCAACGGTTTAGGCATAGGACTCAGTAAGTTATCAATTCTATGTAAACTTGTATGATAGTTTAGAATAAAAAATGAAAAACAATATTAATTCTAAATACTTAGTTAATCCAAGACATCGATTACCAGTGCTCCTTTTAATGAAAAAATGTCAACAAGTTTTTAAAGGTTCTCTTACCTACCAATAAAAAAAATCGACCAAGTAAGTCATGGTCTTAGAAAGGAATATTTTTGTCAATTAACAGTCAACAAAAGGCGCGGTCAAGACTATAATTAATATTTGAGAGCATTTCCCGACGTTTCTACGAGTAAATTCGTTCTTCAAAACATAAAACAATAGAATAAGAGATGGGGTACATAATAAAGTGGTTTTGAATAAAATTGTAAGTTACGTTTAAAAATGAAATTGTAATGTCTGACTCGTCATAACATATTTGCAAAACTTGATGAGATTTCTGCACATGAAAAGCATAAGATCGTATTTAGAAAAAGTCAGGCTTTCAAGAGCTCCACAAATAATTTTTGAAATATTTTTGTGTTGATGTTATGATTTCATAGAATAAAAATTATTTTACACTTAGTATAAAATTGATCGTAAGAATCCACGCGAGTGAAGCTGCGCGTCGAATCTAGTATTTAAATGTTGAATTATATCCGTATTTAATATTACTGGTGCAAATCTATTTCGCAAACCGCAAACATTTCTATGGATGAAAACCGCTCTTCGGACTACCCAATACAATTTTATTTGAATGTATTGCATGATTAAAAAGGTCGGTTGGTTGCCAAAACTAGCTTAATTTGCATCTGAACTAAAATTAGTTCCCGTTTAAAATGGGCCGAATTGATCGTTTTGGATGTTCAAATTGTTTATAACCGATCAAACACAATAGGCAAGGCGACAATAGCCCAACTATGCCAGTTTCGGTGTCCTTAGTTCGAATCCTGTCAGTAATGGACTGTGGTTTGGATGATGGCTAAGGCTCGGTCCATCCTCGTCACGTGGGGCCAGCTTGAGGCCACCGCTCAACACATTAGCCGTCGATTATTCGCAGTCTGTAACTAGACGACTAATTTTTGGATAATATCCATCCTTGGTTTGAATCGAAGACAAAGAAGAGTGCTTTCTTCAGTATCCTGGGCCCAACGTTGTTACTAGGGGCCGGTTTGGGGCCACATAAAGAACACACAGAATCTATAATTAGGTGACTTACTTGTGGATAATATCCATCCTTAGTCTGATAATCAAACACGTAAAAGAACGTCTTCGTTGGCCGTCTAGATCCATCTTCAGCGCTAGGGGCCGGCTTGGGGCCACCGCTCAGCAAATCCCCGCTTTGTACCAGCGGGGCCACGTACTGTGCGTCCGATAGCGCGGCCACCGTCGCGTCTCCTAAACTCTGATTTTTAATTCGACGGAATTTTGACATTTCAGAAGTGTTGGCAACATTGAAACATTCCCACTAAGAAGGGAGAGCATTTTCACAAATTAAAAAATAATCCTTTCTTGAATATAAGGTTTCACTTGAAAAACTAAGTCTTAAAAATGTACTGATCATTTCAAAATGGTTATTTGAATTTTTATTATCATATTATTTTCGAAGTTACAAAAAAAATTGGGTAATTATTTTTCTATTACTGGACTCCCTGGCCAATAATCCATGGGTTACAAACCTTTTTTATTAAAATAATTTTGTTAATAAAATCTTAGCTTCATAAAATAATCAATTTAACAAGATGCCAATTTTATAATCCAACTTGATTATGATGACGATAATGATGATTGATGATCAATACATATTTTCATTTATGATAATATGTTGTTTTACTGTGTTAAAAACAAGTTTTTATCTATTTAATCTCTAAAATTTACATAATAATTAGTGTACATTGAATTCATAAAACAAAAAATAGTTCATTCTTGTATGTTGTACTTGATGAAATTTCATTTCATATTATTTATTATTAATTCAAAGCAAAAAAGGCTTATTACATCTGACTTGTCAAAAAATGACAGCTGTCAGAATTCCGTCGAATTAAAAATCGGACTATAAATCAGTAACTAAATCGTCACTAAGTATACTTATAGAGTGACTTACTTGAGGATAGTATCCATCCTTGGTCTGATAATCAAACACATAGAAAAACGTCTTCGTCCTCCTAGGTCCGTCCTCGTCACTAGGAGCCGGCTTCGGGCCACCGCTCAGCAAATCCCCGCTTTGTACCAGCGGGGCCACGTACTGCGCGTCCGTTAGCGCGACCACCGTCGCATCTCCTAATCAGTAACTAGACTGTCACTGAGTATACTTTATAGAGTCTGTAACGCATTGACTTACTTGTGGATTTAAATATCCATCCTTAGTCTGATAATCAAACACGTAGAAGAACGTCTTCGTAGGCCGTCTAGGTCCATCTTCATCGCTAGGGGCCGGCTTGGGGCCACCGCTCAGCAAATCCCCGCTTTGTACCAGTGGGGCCACGTACTGGGCATCCGATAGCGCGGCCACCGTCGCGTCTCTAGTGTTTATTGGGTTCTGCAACAATGGATTATGGTAATGTACGAGGGACATGCCCGGAATAAGGGTTGTGAGAATGTAGGGTTTTGCGGTAATGCCGGGTTTGTTGCAATATAATTTGAGTTATAGGGGCGTGTGTGTTGAATGCGAATTCAACTTGTATTTTCCAATCCATAAAATACAGTAAAAGTTAAATTGAAATAAATATCTAGTTCATCATATAATACAACGCAGCAATATTATTATTATTGTACGCTGTAGATATGTTATTTAGTTTCTCGTTTTACCTCTGAAATGTTTGTTTATGATCTATAAAATCATGTATCAAAAATGCTTATTTCCAATATGAATATGTTATTATTCAGACCATTAATGTGATGTTTCTCTAAAAAACATAATATGAAGCAGAAATAGAGATGATATTATAATAACCCTACAAAATGTCAAAAAGTAGGGTTTACAAGTGCCTTTATTTAATAAGGCAAGGTTGAAAAATAAAAAGGGAAGTTTTTTTGGATCCTTAAACGTAAACACGCTACATTATTATGTCAGCTGTTATCTGTGTAAAAAAGCTTTGCACTGCTTGCTAGCAGTTAGTGCTCTAATTATTATAATATTATAATTCGTGTGTGGGCCGTCCCCTGAAAGTGACAACCTACTTGCACTAGGCTATCTGTCAAAATGGTAGTAACAGTGTTTATAAATTGCCAAGTGTCACGGAAACACGAATGCTCTATACATTGACCCTGCTGGTTATCCTGTAGTTTCTGCGTAAGCTGCGATACAGAAATATCACAAAACAGAAAGAGCCAAAACACACGATGCGTTGCGGCGCCACACAGCACTGCAAAAAATTAAATTACGACATAGGCTGCTCGCGTGCCCGCCTTACATAATTTTACTTCTTCCTTACTTACGCGTATAATGTGTAATGTAAGATTACGTGTACTATTACACGAATTTTAGGTATGTTCGACACTACGAGCATTACATGTAAAGTGCTGCCCATTTCCATTACACGACGATACATGCCATTACTCATCACACTCATCTGGACCCGGCTTAAGACTATACAGCGACAAGACAATCATAAGAGTCGCATCGCCGCGTTGCATCGTGTGCTTTGGCCCAAGGCAGTCTTTCCCAAAGTGGGCGATAAAGCCCCCTTGTGAGCGCTGCAGGCTTAAAGGGGGGGCGGTAAGAGACCCAGAAAAAAAATCGGGACGTTGTGTAGAGGCTTGGGAGGCGTCATTTACTAGGAGGACTCTTAGACTCGACTGAGCACTCGACACTCGACTACAAATGGGGGCGCTAAAAAGAATTTATCATCAAAGTGGGCAGTAGACAAAATAAGTTTGGGAACCGCTGGCCCAAGGTAAAGAAAAATTTGGCCCTTATGTCGCAGATATGAAGTGCATAATTCATCTGCTTGTTATAACATTGATTTCCTTGTGAAATCTGTTGACATGACCTCCAATATGCATCATATGCCAACAGCATTATGGCCCTTATTTCCTTGTCATTGGGTTAGAGGTATCCCAGCTTACGCTCAGCCTTATACAGACGGCAGCACATCAGCCCACACATTTTTGTAGCAAAAGCGCACCTATTACAACGGCAAAAGATGCCGCAGTGTGAAGCTTGATATGCCGTCTGTACCGAAGCCTACATTAATTAACAAACAAACCTCTACCGTTCGTTCCCAGTCGGTGTACTCGTTGACAATGGTGTAGAATATCTCGCTCAGGTGGTACGTGTATGCATTCCTCACGTAGGTCCTGAAAGAAAATGTATGATAAAAGAAAGACTCAAGACTTCAATGGTTTCAAGTGTAAAGACTCATAGATGCTTCTCATCCTTGACAATGGGAAGTAGGTATATTGTGTATTGTTAATGAAAATTATTTAAGGTAGATACTCTGGAATAGGGACTGGGTTTTTCTTTTCAAGTTGGTGAATAATGGTTCCAGATCCTAAACATATTTTTTCCAGGAATCTTTCCTAGTGTTAAAAAGATTCTTGGGCTGAGTTGTACCATCTTACTTTAATTTTGACAAACGTCAAAAATCTGTCAAACTCCATACAAAATACACCGGTTATCGTCAAAGTTACGGTCAAAGTTAGGTGGTGCAACTCAGCCTTAATCAATTAGGCCTTAGGGAAATAATAACACATTCACTTCAGAAATGGAATTTAATTGTTTTGATATCTATTTTGCAAACCTCGTCACAATCGTGTTTGTAATTGGTTTTTAAGCCAACTCGTAATTTTAAAAGTTTACTAAGTGCAGCTGTTGTGTTATTTGTTTGGCAGTCCAATTAAACTTATCAGCGATAATTACCTCAACATCCTGTCTCTTTTGTCAGGCTCGATTCCATTCTGAATGTCGTGAGCTGAGAACTTCCATAGCGCTTCGCTTGTCACAACTCCGAACAGCAGATCATACTTATTTTGGAACAACCTTCTCCCACTGTCACTTCTTTTCTTATGAATATTGAGATTCAAATTCATGTTATTTAGAGGCCCAAAACTAGGAAAGTCTCCTGTCGAATACATTGTGAGAAAGTCCTTCGCGAAGTCCGTTTTTATAACCACTCCGTCTACAGATGGACCGAATGCTGTCAAAAAGTTAGGAGGCGATATGTCTATTGACAGCAGTTCTTCTATCGTCGCTTCTCTCAGACAGTCTACTATGATCTCGTGGTCTTTTGTGAGGTCGTCTGGTATACTACAGTTCATGTGCTTGGCTAGTTTCAGGGAGTAGTAGACGGGGTCATCTACGATAGCCCAAGAGCTTAGTGCTGATCCTGATAGAAGTATTGCTCTATGGAACAACCCTGTGGAAAAAATATTGATTTTTTTTTCGATTATGATGCCAAAATCACATGATTTCAAAATTCGATTCCTTTAATTATGCTAGTTAAGGTTGTATGTGCTAAAAATATATCAGTGGAATTACTTTGCGAAAGATTATTTAGTATCTCGGAGCAATGAAACTACTTGTAAAAGATCACAATCAATAGGGTAATTACGAGTATGTAGTATTAATTTGACAAAAATAAGAGATCAGGCATTCAGACATTTTAAGGCTCACTTATTTACTAAGTGACGTTAAAACTAAAGCTCAGGTATAGATTATGATCTTTCTAATTTATTAATTAGTCTAAACAACATTAAAATTCAATCAATGAAAGGCTTGGAATCTATTGGAATTCCGAACGTTTATTCGAAATGCAGGCATTGAAGCAAAGGTATTAAAAACTTCGATGAACAACAACAATACACACCTGGCATCACAGTTGGCGATATCATAAGAAAATTTATACAAGCCGCACCAGACCCGTGGCCCATTAGCGTTATGTTCGTTGGATCGCCTCCAAAGAGAGCTATGTTCTGCTGCACCCAATGCAGCGCGGCTATCTGGTCCATCAGCCCGTAGTTGGCGACGCGCGCTTTTATGTTCGGCGCTGGATTTGCATTTAAAAATCCTGGAATGAACGGCATAATTAGCTTTGCTTTGATTTAAGCGGATTAAAGGGTTGGATATAGGCTGCTTGTTTATTGATGCGCTGTTAACTACAGCTGCCGGACTAGGATGCGCGCCGTCATAAAATCTTATCGATATTTTATCGCATAAAATCGATATAATGGTCCCGATAAAAGCTTCCTAAGCCAAGACTTGCAATTATTTTTCACTCACTAGATTTTGCATTCATGGAAAACTCTAACAACCATCTGAGCTCCCTCATAGGTCATGACTTTACCCTCTGATACCCTTTGATGTATTTGTATTGGAAACTTGAAACGTATAAACGTTCGTAATGATTCATGTTATAAGAGTAGTACCTATTTTTAGAGCTAAAACATTCTTATGATCTTGGAAAAAAGAAACCTTTTCCCTAAAATTTCTTCAGACCTAAATGCTATAGACCTACACAAGTAAACAGTAATAACTCCCAGCCCCAGCTCTCCGAGGTCCTTCGCAGTGCCTGTAAAATTATTTCCAGCGAAATATTTTTCTTTGATTGAATTCTCCGAAGCAAATAGGAATATCGGAAGAAATACTTTCTCAAATGTAAACAACTACAAGTTAAGCATTTGCAGAGGAACGATCATATTAGTTTTGAATTCCGTTTCCAATTTGTTTTTAAACCATCAGCTCAAGTGAGCTCTCTCAAGGGTCTATTTAATTCGAGTAGTGCATTTCTATTTAAATGAATCGGAAGGGAACAAAATACACCCTCGTGGATACAGTTGTTTCGTTGAAAGAGGAATGCTCATTACGAACGGCTGCCTTTTATAAAGTTTTTATGAGATTAATAAAATTTCGAGTCACTTTTATTGCCTATTGCAGAGTCTATTATTTTCGTCTTTTTTGTTTAGACTTCCAGTCGTGGTCTGATTGCATGATTTTCTTTTTTTGTTACTTAGTCTCAAATTTTTAGTATCAAACCTTTATGTATCACATAATATTGAACAGAATATTATCTTAATCCACTTATACAAGGTCTTTGAGCAAATTAAGGTTGAGCATTTCTCATCTTAGCTAATTTAGCTTTCTATACAAAGATAGCCCTTTTAACCAGTGACCTAAATCGATAGTTGCCTTTGAGTATAAATTGTTTCCACGTGCGAAACACACGCGTAGCATATCGCTCCAGGCGAGGCATTTTCTTTAGAAGCTGTCACAGGTTTATTAATATATTTAGAGCGTTCCCAAACTTTTTGGCTTTTGAAATATTTCGGAACGGGAATTATGGAAAAAGGGAGTTTCGGAAAGCGTTTTAATTGCATACCTCGAGTGGAGAACTCCAACTTTTCTGTTTGTGAAGATGATAAAGAGGGTTCCCGTAATTATTCATTAACCCTTAAATTGGCACTCATTGAACCCTTGCTTCAAAAATGGTCAAATTTGGGATTTAGGTATTGTTTTGATAGATTAAGAAAAAAATATTTACTTTTTGAAAAAATTTCAATTGGTATAGAAGTTATGACATGTCACTCAAAACGGACATTGCCAATTATTTAGCATTAGAACCATGTCACTTAGGGCGGACATTGCCAGTTTAGAAAAACAAACGTAAAACAACTTTTCTTAATAACAATACAGGAATCCCTGATAATCATCCTCTGGCTAATCCAGCGCCTTTTGCAATCCATCTGGACTATTTACTGTTTATTTTACATAAATTTATCAAATATACCCTGACATATAAAAACAGAAAGTGGCTGCCTGATTTATCAACCTAAATCCCAAACCGGTGGGTATAAAGACACAAAGTTTGGCATGTAGGTTCCTTATTAGGGTCTAGGGGTGTTATCAGAAAGGATTTTTTCAAAATTACCCCCTAAGGGGGTGAAATGGGGGTCCAAAATTTGTAGGGCGAAACAAAATTAGTTACACTATTTAATTCGAAACTTTACAGGATACATTCCTATCGATAAATGAATAAACACGTGTTTCAGGTTATTTCAGAATTCAACCCCTAAAAGGGGGAAATTGGGTAAAAATGTCTAAAAATCAGCATGAGTATTTATTACTGATACATGGCATTGTCCGTTTTAAGTGACATAACATTTGTAACCTTGAAATGAATGGAAAAAAAACGATATTTTTTTACATTTTTGGCAATAACCGTCAGTTTTATTCGTTAATATTCTAAAATCAATCAATAAAGCACAAGAACAAGTACAATACCTACAGTATTGCCACATTTATCAAGAGTGAAAACTTGACATTGCTATTGAATTTATTCAACTGTCTTTATTTTTAAAATTCGCGGCTTTTTATTGAACTACAGCCCCGTGTTTCACATAAAATATCATGCTTTTTATAAAATATCCCTTGAAAGTCGATAAATTGCTTTAATTTAGATTCTGTAAGCAATTATTTGACATGTCCTTTAAAACGGACAAAAACAATTTAAGGGTTAAACTCGCCCAAGTTAGCATCAGTAAAGTCGCATATTAAACGAAGTAAAAGAAAAATTTAGATCACACAAACTTATTATCAGATTAACTGGATACTTTTGTAATCCAATTTTGGAGCTGAGACCGAACAATGAACTGGTGTAAGCTGATTATGCTGTTTTGGTTTGCATTATTTACTATCAAAATATTGGTGATAGTTACTTTTTCGTTTTGTGTGTAACAGAACAGCAAGATTGTAACAGAAATATGTATGTGTAATTATATTTTTATTAATGCAGAAGATTATAGCAGCATTAATTTGTTTTTAATATGCTTGGTTACTTTGTAAAAAATTACCTAGGTAGGGAAGCACTTGTAAGTTTTAATTGCCTGTTACGGATCCTTAAAAACATCAAGTTATCAGATGTTAGATCATTTTGTTATTAGGTACAACATGAGTATACTTGGTAACAAGAAAACTGTATCCCTCTTATACTATTGGGAGCATTTCGTAGTTTAAAGTCAGTGCTATGAGGTTTATTTTAGAAAGACATAAATCTCCAGGAAAAATATTATGAGCACGCGGCGTCGTGACCTCTCTCCGTGGCCTGGATTTAGTATTTGCACTTGCGAATTGCACCGCTAGGAAAAGTAAATATTTACACTTAAAAAAAATGAGAAGTTGTATTCTTTTTTTAAACGCAAACGTGACTGGCAAGTTATGAGATTTCTACGTAATCGGCACAGAATTTAGTCAAAGAATTTTTTAATATTCTATGTCTATAAAATGTTTCTCTAATCTTAAAACTGTCTCTCAATTTGAAAAGGGTACGCAAAATCTTTTTAATTTTAGTCCTAGTTTAGAAGGATGGATGATAGCGAACAGCTTTGTTTAAATTTAGAAGGATAGGCGTACAGGTTTTCCAATGAAAACTTGTGTAAGTACCTACATGACATTATGATGTTGAATTGAGCGGATTCCTTGGCGCCCTTTCGACACAACTCTTATGTTTAGTTTTTGATTTATTCTTCATCATGAGACTGAACCAATGTCCAAGTATTGTTTGTATAAAATTCTTACCTAAAACACCTAGCCTAAAGTTCAAAGTGACAACGATCAAATCCGTGTAGCTGGCCAGAACCGCGCCATCGTAAGGGTTGCTGGAACTCCATGAATAGCTCTCTCCATGGATGTATACTAAGACTGGCAGTGCCAGCTTTGTTTCGTCCACTGAAAGGAAAGTAAACTTTCAAAGATGCAAAGTAAGTTAAAGCTATAGGTTAAAACAATAAGATTCGAAATAATGTGGAAAGTATACAATTTTAACAGAGTTGAATTAATTGAAGGAATGGCTTTGATATAATGTAACTGAAGCGTCATTAAAATTATATCAAATGTAGTTCAGCTATCGTATCGAAAATTAATTAGCTGACATTTTTAAAACCAATTACTAAACTAGTTTTCGCCATTCACAAAAATTACTATAAGGTGTCACAGTGCGCGTTTCTATTTAATGCTGTGCGTTCGATTTGCTGCTTCACATAAGCAAGCATCGTTTGTGAATACGTGCGTTTATTCCTTAAATAGAATGACAGTTACACGTTAAAGGAACATAGGTACAATTATAAGAGCTCATTTTTCCTATCGTAATTAATGTAAAATGTAAAGTGATTTGCTTTTTAAATTAGATGACAAAAACTTTGATGTTGATGACATTATGATTCGGCGATACTTAGAAGTCGACAAAATTTGCTCTTCGGTCTTACGAGGTTAAAAAATAAATATTCATTAATTCCCAAAGAATCCACTTACTTTGCAAAGGTGCGAATATGTTTAAATATAGACAATCTTCACTTTGATTCTTAAGATAAGGCATCAGTCTTTTTAAATACTCTAGTCTGCCTTTAGGCATTTTCTCTAACATGGTCCGCTCATCGTCTAGGTCGGGTAGTTTCTGCGGGCAAGCGGGACCTGGCCTGTCGGAGACCCTGACGCCGTCCCATGGGGAGGGCGTTCTTGTGGGGCTAAACCTAAAATTGCGAACATACATCTAAGACTTCATACAATAATAAAAATAAAAGACTAACAGGCATAGAGCATAACGGTAGGCAGTTGAGGTGACAGGAGTTCACATGTGACGTAAATAGCTGTCTGGGTATACGTTTGAAGTCTCATGGTTATTGACGTACTTAGGGTTAGTAGTAGTTTCGCACGAAATTCGATTGCACGAATGTGCGAAACGTCCCCTTTCAATATTTAATTTTTAGTAGGCGTTCCGCCCGGATGCATTAAAAGTATGAAAATCGCGTGCGAATTGACTCCTTTAAGAACTAGTAATCTCATACTAATAGTTCTCGAAAGAGTCGATTCGCACGCGATATTAATACATCCGGGCGGAACGCCTACTAAAAAAATATTATTCTTGAAAGGAGAAGTTTTGCACGTTCGTGCGAAACTACTACTAACCCAACAAAAACAGACCCCTCCAGCACCGCATTATTAGTGCCACAACCTAATTAATTATGCTATGCCTAATTGTTTTTTGAGTATATTTTCTGCTATAATTCTAAACTATGCTCTAACTAGCAGAGACGACGGCACATCAAGTTAAATATTCTGGTATCGTATGTACTCGTAGAATAACACTAGCCATTAAAAGGCTGTAAATGATCTTAACCTTTAACCAGTGACATGACTATTTTATAACACTATAAGGGACATGACGTCTCACAGGCTACTACTTCGAAATCAAAAAATTGACAAAATTGCATGTGGATTACTTTAAAATTGTATTTGTATATAACTATTGGTATGTCAATAAAACAAAATGTAAATGAATTCAATCATTTTTTTTATAATTACATAGAAAAAAACTATAATTACCAATTAGTGGTAATTTTCAGCCTCAATTGATATGAGCTCCTATTTTAGCATTTTAATAGACTTTATATAAATTCTATGTCAAATTTAATACTTTTTACTAAAAATCTAATAATACAGAAACCGAAAAAACATAAAAGCCACTTCTGAAAAATAAAAATAAAAATTCTGACACCCGCTCAATTTGGCATAAAATCAATGGCAATTTTTGCAGAAAAGGCGAGAACATTGCAAACATATGGGATTGCAACACCCCAACACAAGTGTACTGTGGCAGCGAAGCATGGCTTGGCACCCGGGGCGACCCCTTCCCCCCCCCCCCCCCCCCACCCCTCATAAGACTATAAGTTGGATGTTCATATTGCGGGGGGCTAAGGCACCCCAGAATGGTCTGGTGTCCCCCAGAATTTTCGGGTTACCGATTTGAAGCCGAAAGATTTCAGTACTAAGTCATGAGCTATATTATTATGATGAGATGATACCAATCGCATGCACCCCCTTATCATGACATATCAGATGCGCGATGCAGATGCACCTGTGGGCACTAATCTTCGCGACTGAGTTGTCACTCCGTTGTCACCCCCTGATGCTTGGCACCCTGGGCGGACCCCCCCCCCCCCACGCCGCCACTGTCCGCTGTGTACACTGTCATTTTGTGTAGTTTAGGCAGACAAATACTGCATGCCCTTTGCTTGGCTTGACTTGTTTCAGGATGGAACAGACGGTCCATCGTTTGAACCTTGACGAGGTTCAAAAGGTTCAAACGATTGACTGACCGTTCGTAATATTTTATTCTTTGATGAATTCGTGGGCTGGAGTTATCATTTCCTAGTCTTTTCTGCCATTTTGCACTTAAAATAAAAATTAGAGTGTAAAAGTTTTTGTATGACAACTAGGGACATGTAGCCTCACAGGCTACGATCGATTTTCTAATTCGTATAACTTACGTGCAAAACAACCGATAACACGTCTGCCTTCTTCTGTGGTCGTTTTAGCACTAAAACAAAAGCTACTAAGACGCTGGGTCGCTGCAAGCGAGGGGAAGTGGTCAATTCTAAGAATTTGAAAAACATGAGACGCCTGTGAGACTACGTGTCACTGGTTAAAGGTTAATTTTGAAAATCGTACCAGTCATGAGCATCTTCTAGAATAGAAACAAAAGATGTAATGAAAATAAAAAAGTTCAACAAAAAATGCTTACCTATTGGATCCGACTGGAGGCGTTGCGTATGGAACACCTAAAAAAACTTCTAGAGGACTCAAGTATCTGTGCTCGTCCATAGCCAAAACAATGCCCTGTAATTTCCCATATTTAGTCTGCACTATTCTACTACTAATTTTAAACTTAACACTCGATTTAGGAATTGGATTATTGGGATTCAAGTAAAAGTTTTTGTAGTCCTCGTAGTTACTGTACACATTGTTTTCACTGTTATAAAATTTATTGTGTATAAAATGCTCGCTATTGTAATAAGGATTGTGTTCGAAATTGACTTTTGTATAATCTACGTTTTCACTTCCATGTACTGGGTCATGATCTTCGTAATTATCTTCACTGGGCTGATCACTTTGATGAACATCAGTTATTGATTTGAAATCTTTGCCAGCAACGAATGTTTCACTCAAATGTCGATTCATGTTTGTAGTATTGGAATTAACTGCGCGCAGAGATAAAAATGTCACAACGATAAAACTGTACAAATTGAAACATACTATTTTTTGGGCGGGATATTTGGTTTTTGTATTGTTACGCGAACATTTTTCGTGAACATGCTGACACATGCTCGAATCACAGGGTTTAGTCCGCGCCTTGTGGAACTGTCCGTTTTGAAACATATTTCATCATGTTATCATTTTTAATTCACTGCCATCATTTCGCGCTTCATCATCTTCCGTTTTTCGTTGACTTTCGACTCGGCATCTGTAACAAAGAAAATTGCATTTTAGTTCTCAAGTTCTATTATCAAACTCGTAAATCTGAATGAATAAAAATTTCATCATCATCATCGTTTCAGCCATAGGACGTCCACTGCTGGCTGAATATAGGCCTCCCCCAATGTTATCCATGTTGATAGATTGGTAGCGGCCTGCGAATAAAAAATTACGTTATGTTAAAATATTCTTACAAAAAAGAAACTTAAGAAACACAAAAACTATCAATCCTTATCCAATAATTTTGAAACTAACGTTGACTGTTTTATCAATTGAATTTAAGATTCTAAGAATTCAACATTTACTAAGAATCAGCTTCGGAACTAATTCCAAAACTCTCTTGACTCTGGAAACTTCATTAGGACTGACTAACAAAGCCAATCCTTTGGACAAACATAATCCTATTACTTTTTTTTTTTTTTTTTTTTTTTTATCCACAACGAGGAAGCTCTTGGCCTGTATCTCACCTGATGGTAAGTGACGATCAGGCCGAAGACTGTGATACTATTCAAAGAATTCTAGACTTTTTACCTACTACATTTCCAGCTTACGTCCCTATACAAGCATTCCCTTTATTGAGGGCAGAGAAGGGATATTCCCGTGTAAAACATCGTAAAGTCGAATGTTACTGAATATGGCTGCTCGTTTGAAGGGTTCTAAGACCAAAGTTGCATGTAAAGGACTACTTAAATAAACAGAGTTCAACAAAACTTGAGGTTGGTTTTCTTGAAAAAATAAGCAGTGAATATAATGGGAATGATAATCACAATTTAAATGTACCTACTCTATGATTTTAACATAGCCTGCCTTGTATTCATACACTACGCGAAAAAATACTGCGTTGAGACCTGTGACTCTCTATTTTAATTATAAATATGTAGTAGGTCTTTTTGTAGTCAAATCATAGTTTTATCGATTGATAGCGACTATTTATACCGTATTTTTATCATCTAACTTTACCACAAACAATGGTACTTAATTCAGTAGCTACCTTTTCCATTTATTCAACAATATTTTGAAGCAAATTCTCTTTCAAATGGCATAAAACCTTTCATCTTTAGTCCACTGTCCCGGCCAGTTACATAATTAAGTAGGTATATTATAACATGTTGTTTGCTGACGTCATACCCCTAGCATCAAAGGCCGCTTATGAATTTTCTTGTTTTGGTACAATCAGCACATCAGACTGTACATTTTTTTGTCGCAAAATAGACCGTATTACAATGAGATAAGGTCTTGCTTTGTTATACTTGATGTGATCTCCGTTCACTGTTTTTGTAGAGCAAGGCTGTTTCGCTTAATGAATTATTGTTTGGTTTGGTTTTTCTTTTCTCGGGTAAATATTTTCGGGATTCAATAACGGCGGTGATTTATTGATAGTAATTGCTGAAGAAAATGCCATGCCCACAGCTGGATGTCGATTGGATATTGCCAATATTTTCCATTAAAATCCAAAGAAAATTGAATTATAAATTGTACTCTTGTATCTTTTTGTATTTCTTTCTTTCTTGTTTCGTGGTAAACAATAAAGTGTACATTTAGTATTATACAATTTTATTTATGTAGTGAAGTTTTAGAAAAAGTTTTTTAAGTATCAACTAACATGTCGTAGGTTTCTTCGTGAATAGAACCATTTGTTTTGTAAGATATTCTGGACTCATAAGAATAATAAAAAGCTCAGCAATATTCACATTAAAATGTTTTGCCAAAAGTTTTACTTGCTCTTTTTATTACAGGCCTGATTCGAATGGTACAATAATGTTATCAACGTCGTAAAAGTTTCTATTACGAAGTAGGGTAACTGGAGAAGGTGGGTAATTGTAAAAAAATATTTCGAAACGTATCTAATTTCATTAGAATAACGCCCGTATTCACAAACATTACTATGAGGTCTCATAGTGCACGTGGACGCACAGGTTGACACACGAACCTATCACAGAGCTTTCTCTATTCAACTCTGTGCGTTCGATTTGATGCCTCACTTAAGCAAGTATCGTATGTTAATACGGGCGTAAATGTTATATTTTTTAAGACCTTTAGACTTTTAGAGGCTTCAGATAGTGATTATACAAAAGAGAGATTTGGAAACAAGGCTTGTACCTACAAAAGAGCTGGTAACAGATATTTATCTTCTTACATACAACATGTCTTTCTTGTTTTAATTTTTTAGCAATACTTTAATTGCTTAAAATAGTTTTCTTATTATTTAAAACCGTAATCAAAAAGAAACATTTCATAAAATAGATTCTGTTGATATTGAAATTATATTATTTATTTTTCATCCAGCTTTTTATTTTTCATCCAGTTTAAAATAAAAGGTTACTGAAACCCTCATACACAACACATGTTACACTCCCAAACTCATAACAGTCACACAAAATAATTTTAAAACGTGAAATTTTATTAAGGCCGCAAAATAGAAACATTTGACTGCCTTATTATGACGTCATGATGTTACGGCTCCAACTTGGATGACGTCATTAACGGCATAAACTCAAATTACTGTCAATTTACGCACTCTAGTGCGGGCGCTTATCCGGGCAATTTTTACAAGTGCAAAATTAAGAAGCCAGCAGGGAAATTTTAAGTGGGCCTTTAAAAAATATGGAACGTAAAAGATCCAGTTTCTGTCTTCAGCGAGGGCTATTGCTTTGGTAATAAAAAACTTGAGATGGGTTGTAAAAAGGACTACGAAATTTTAATTATCCTTTTTCTTATTATCAACAAGATTCATAAAAAGTGTATGAGAACAGGCATTCTTAATATTTTACGTAACAATACGAAATGTAGAGGGTTTATAGGACAAGCTGGCTTTAGATAGAGTAAACAATTTTTCTTAATTAATTTTTGAGTCAAATGAATTTGTACATGAGGCGAACTTAATGCCATAAGGCATTCTTTACCAGTTGACTGTCGGAAAAAAACAGAAAAAGATGTGTTTGATAGAAATAGATAGATTTGATAGAAAATACCTACAGTCATCCACATACAGACAGAGTTGTTTTCTCATGAGGCTCCATAATATTAGTATAGTAAGAGTTAGTAGTAGTTAGTTTAGTAAGTAGGTAGATAACGAAATTATTGAAGGATACAAAATTAAATCTTTTCTTATCACGGAGTTGCCGTGGATGATAAATAATTGGAATAAAACAATGACGGTTATATTGCGACAAGGCATTTTGTATTTTGGGAGACATCAATACTTATGTCATCATTATTGCTTACAGTGGTCCGTTAATAAGAGTGACTAATGCCCGTTTTTACCATCAATCCCTAATTTTTAAGTGACCCCTATGAAAATAAAAGGATAAGTGTTACCATAGGGGTCACTTAAAAATTAGGGATTGATGGTGAAAATGGTCATCAAAACTCTAGATGTTTCATGTTCCAGAAACAACTCTAGCTTAAAACAAGACCTCTATCACAGAGTAAAGAAACGGTTTCTTTACACATGTGCCACTATTCCCTCCCCTATTTCTGACTCCCATGATCCCACCAGACATTGCGATCGAATGACTCCAACGCATTCCTATCACGGGCTCGTAATACGTGGAACGAATGCCATTGTTAACACGACACACAACTATCAACTTTAGAGTATGTTATTAGAATTGAGTATGGAAAAACAGGATCATACTTCTTAAAGGTACAAAGGATGTGCGTTCCATGGTTCTCAAAATATTATAAGTAGGTAGGTACGAAAATGCAATTTGCATGTAGTAGTTGTTTACATAGTGACTTTTTACTATTACTTTGTTTCGTATTTGGTCAGTCAGTGTTGGCCAAATCTTCCATTTTCTTTTGTTAAATTAGAGAGGGTCGTACTCCTGCACTGGAGTTTACATCACTTCAGAATATTATTGATGAGAGTAACGCCCGTAATCTCAAACGAAACTTGCTAAATAGAACTCTGTGATTGGTTCATGTGCCACCCTGTGCGTCCACGCGCACTGTGAGAGTCTGTGAGACCTCATAGTAATGTTTGTGAATTATTTTAAAAATCTCAGGTTCAATGTTGAGTCAAATATGGATCCAACAATCATAAAAAAATCACTACATCCTGGCAGATGCTGAATGTAAAAAAAAATAAACTGAAGAAAATAATTCACCTCCAATATTAGGTCGTCAATCTTGTCAGGAATTAAATATAGTAAAATTAATTCTCTCTGTTAGTGACAATTTGCAAACTGATAACATACAATCTCATACACATACCATATTCACAAATACCGACAACCTAAATAATTCTAAAATAATATAAAAAAGTTTGGAAACTAAAGTAAGATATCAAAGGAACTAAAATTGAAGATAAGTAAATGGCAAAATGGCAAGGAGTGCCATTAACGAATATGCATTGAAGATTCTATTCCACTTTGAATCGTTAGCTTTTATAATATTTTTCTACGTAGTCGAGCATAATGTCATGCTTTTCATGTTTATTTCATGAATTTCTCAAACGTTGTCGTTTTAGTAATGTTTCAGCTATACGTTTTCAGTGTGTATTTAAGTAGGTTTACCTGTTTTAGCCACCATAGACCATAATAATGCTTTGTTGTAGCTCACAATCAAGTGGAAACTTAAAATAATAGACAATTAAGTGGATAATAAAATAAAAGTTTTTTCATTTCACTTCACAAGAACCCATTCTGAAGTTCAGTTCGACCATTTCAAAAACCTATTTTCGAGTGCTAAAATAAACTTATAGTTCTCTACTTAACACTGTTTTAATTCTAGCCCAAATATTGTTTTTTTAAAGACAGTGTTTATAACTTGGTGGTCCGCCAATCTGGGTCGTGGCCAAATACTGATCTCTTAAGAATGTCAAGTGGAGCCTTGGAGCCGGATTAAGGACTTATGTTTAGCGCTCTGTGAGTAGTAATAAGTGGATCCAACCTTGAGACCAACTTTACTTTGGTCAGACTAATGTTGGTGCTGAATACGAGTATGTAATGTTTGTGTTTGCTTTGATCTAATCTTTGTTTT